TTTGAGCTGCTACAGAGAATCACAAGTCAAAAGGCAATGAGAGCTCAACGGAACAGTAGTCCGAATATTCAGATAAACTTTCATCAAGCAGGAATTGAATCGGACGTGTGGATGGGACACGAGAAAAGCTCAGGCACGTTCTGATTAAGTTACAAATAATTTAATAATACTGTACGCTTATTCCCTTGATTCGAAAGCCAACTGTGCGAAGAACAGCGGAACCCGATGACACCTTCAAATGACCTGGACGAGGGTCATTCAAACGGATTATAAAACAATTTCGAAAATTCGGATATTACGAGATCATACTCCAAAAAGTAGCCGCATAATTTTAACAAATATCATATGAATTTCAAAAATCTAACTCAATACTTATTTACTCAAAAACCCGATTCCACACTTCACATTCTTTCGTTAAACCTATAATTCAACCAATTTACGCAAAGCAAAAATTTACCATTTGTACGAGTAAACGCGCGGTATGTCTCGTTAAGAACAATTTTAAGTATGAATTTAACAATAAAATTCAAAATATTTGGAGGGCTTTCGTTTCAAAATCGGGATAAGCACAGTTCATATAAAAATTCGTATACAATACAGTAAGTTGAGAGGAGGATAGAAGAGGTGTCATTACACCGTAAAGTACTTCACACGCCTATTAAGCACTCAACTCTCCTCGTGCAGTCGCTCGTTGATTGCACATTTGCACGGTCGTCAAATCTGATTCACTTTGAGAATCGACTATCCAAATCTTGTACAAAGCCTTGAACTCTAAATCCGGAAACACTTTCGAACTTCTCTACCGATAAAATTATCCACCCGTTCCCGTACGAATAACTCTCCTTGCCATTTCAACCAACCTTCGCTCCCGATTCCGAATTTCTGAGAGCATGGCGGCAGAGTTCGTCCGAATCCATCATGTGATGGCACATAAACGCAGGAATTGTGAGAAATCAGCATGCCGATTGCAACAGCATTTTGCTACAAGGATCGACATAGATTCAATTACAAGGTATTTTGCCAGTGCTGTATCTGACCTGAGGTACAAACACATTTCGGAAGCGTGAAAAATATGACGTTTCTGAAAATTTAGACAAATGATCGACGTACACTACAGTATTTGCTTTGGCAGCAAGCGTTTCACCAAATGACGATAATGAGATACTGTACTGTACAAACTCAAATGTAATGTCACCAGCAAGACACGCGCGAATTATTTCGAGGTGAAGATGTAAATCTCGCTCCAGGGCGTAGAACTCGCACTGCTTCAACATGCGCACGAATATGAGATGAAAGGTTCATCCGTCAAACCGAGAACACGTGATGGAATCCACGTAAGCAAGAAAATTCGAGGGTTCCGCGGACATAGTTTCGATTCCTAGCTGGCCTCTCCCGAGACTTGGCCACGCCAGTATCTTCCAATTCCGGCCTACAATCGAAACCCGCGAAGTGGAAAACTACGCCCGCACCATCCACGGCCGGAGTCGCAAGAAGAACTAACTGCGCCTCGCCGTTTTCCCCAATCCACACTCATTATCAGCCTTTTTATCAATACGAAGCTGATATCGAGCGGGAATGCCAACAAAGTTTCTGCACGCCACCCTTTTTCTTTCCACGGTACTGTGTTTCCCTTTCGAGCCTGGTCAACCGCGGTTTCTTTGATCCGGGCCCAGGGACTGCTGACGAAATTTTTCTTCATATCCGTCATGGAACATTGATGCATGTTTATACTGTTGGATTTCCTTTGTTGACGCACGTGCGACGAGAAGAATGGGATTCAGCCGAGGACAATGCAAGCCCAATGAACAACCGAACGTGGCCTGATCGGCTGATCCGTTAACAGACATTCACGCAATCACGCATCCGAAAACGGTCTCAGGAAAGTGCATGTCTGAAGCAGCAGAATTGCGGATTGTCACTTGCCGAGAGTTGTTTCTTGAAGAGGCAACTAAACCATATGTGTACTGTATTTCAGTTTCTCTAGGTTAAGATGAATGCCCCGAAATGCCCAGATGGAAGCAATCTTCTGTAATTGCAAGAATGATGACACTTTTATGTTAAATTGCTTCAACGACGTGATGTCATTTTAGGAATCTTCCACAGTAGCTTAAAAACCCATGCGAGTATTTTATATTCTCCAGGTGCCATTGCATTTATAAAATAAAGACTGTATCAGAGAGGCGAAAAGTACATTTTTCAGGGTTTCATCCTCACGGTCGTCTTTTGGACATCGGCTGTCTTTCACTAAATAAGTTACGATCAAGAACATCCGTTATTATGCATATTCCCGTTTCGACTCATTACGAATTGGGTGATGCTAAGGGTTCCTGTTATCTCCCGATGGTGAATCCACGAAGCCCGGGATTCCTTACGTCTCAACATTTTGGACAGGGTTGAATATAATCGAAGTACAGTACTGCTTTAATTTTAGCGCGCCTCAACGAATAATTCTCTGCATTTTTCAGTGTACGGTTATGTGAAGGAATTGTTTCACTTGGGGGGGGGGGGGCGGTTTTATCCAACAAAATGTGCATATAACCCCGACCAATTCACACGACAGCTCGAATCCTCGATCACGTGAGCCGATGAACCGAGTTATCTATCCTCTCGGATGCGGCGTACATTTTAGGAACGATAATAAAAAAATATTCGCTGCTAACATGCTAACCCAAAGCGATTTATCACCACATTTTGGCCATCTAAGTCATTCATCCCCTCCGACGCGCAATTAACGCGCAGCTGCAAATTTCTCCGTCAATCATTTTGAATAAATATTCGGCTTCATTCCCCGGAACTACAGTATTCGATGCATAACTCAGTTTATCAGATCTCCGATCGCAGCCCAAAACTGTCCGTTACTTTCAATTTTAAGATTCGATTTCCTTCTTCCTAAAACGTTATGATTGGAATTTAATTAACTGAGTGGTAATAGGAACATTTTCCTCTAAATAGTCTAAAATAACTTGGCTGTATGTACTCCGACTGCTGCTTTTCGTGGACTGCTGGTTTTCAGACATGAAAAGCCCGCATTTTAAATTTTGCTAAATACGTACTGGAATTGTTTTCTTTTCAAAGCTGGCACAACCCACAATTTTATCATCAATATTAATTTCATTTCCAGGAAGGTCCTCATGAATGTAACATGCCTGAAATTTGATGACTTTTTTGCTTCTAAAGACTCTATTTGCCTATAACCAGAGCAAATACTTATGCTCATAATGCTTTTACCAGCAAAAGGACCCTGCAGCTGATCATAATAAGATACTTGTTATTATGATTGAATTAATTTTTGAGTGTGAAGACTTTTTGCGGATGCTTTGGGAGGACAGCAAAATTACTCATGGGTTCAAGATCACAGTTGACCAAACTCTTGATTTCCTATAACAAATGAACTATGTAATACTGACATCAATGATCAAGCATGTTTACCAAAATTCAAATTTTTGTACGCGTTTGATGTTCTACTCATTCTACGGTATAGTTCGTAAAGGAATTGATCTTCTGAATATGTACATCAATGACTGTAAGAGAGCCATGTTCATAACGCATTCTTTGGAGGATCTGGTTCGAACGCGTTTGCCAGTGAATCAACTATTTTTTAGTCCACTCTACCGTATTATATACTACTCTACCGTTTTTTTTTTTTTTTTTTGTCGTGGCTTCAAGTTTAATCAATATCAAGGNTATACTCCTCTTCCGTTTTTTTTTTTTTTTTGATGTCGTGGCTTCAAGTTTAATCAATATCAAGGTTGAATTCGATACATATATGGATTGAATAAAATCATGCGAGCTTATGCTGAACAGATAGACGGAACATTTTTAATTTTTGGTGATTGGGTTTGCATTCAAGAACAAATATTTCCCAAGACTAGATAGAGATTATTTCACCAGTGAACATTAGCATCAAGTTGATGCACTTGATGCACTACTTGCCCGGATACTCGTCAAACATTGTTTAAAGTTCAGGCGGATTTTTCGGGTGTATCTATTCTGACTCAATCGCCTTAGGAATACCGAATATAAGTATCAGCCATCTTTTAAATGATATAATTTTTTTTTTTCAGGGCATTGGTATGACTAGTGAATCCTGAACAAATTGAGACAACATTTCCACTTGATTTCTTGGATCAGTTGAGGAATGCGTTGGAAAGCTGTCATAAAGTACAGTATATCCACAAAAAAAAACCTTGAAAAGATTTGCAGACATACATTTTACACAGCAACAACATCTTCAAGGGAAATTTCAGTACAAATTTTAAGACGTTTAACGGAATGAGTAGATAAGGTACAGTATTACAGTATTTGTCCAGAAGGCACTTTAATACTGTACTCCTACTTCGAAAACGAGCTGAGCATTCCGAAGAAAAACTCTCGCAGTTCTTTCACTTCCCTGGTGGTCTTTCAGCTAAGAAATTGAAATGTATGACATCCCAAAGTCAATGTCAATGATCTTTTGAATGCTTCACGAATGCCATAAATGATTTGTTGAAGCGTATGATAAAAACACTATATAATGTATGTATAGTTTATATGTAAGTATATATAGGAATAAATCTTTTTTTTATTTTACTGTACTGAGGTCGCTAACGGCCGCAAAGAAACCCAAGACCATTAAAATACTAAAAATTACGTTGCGCAGCTAGTTCTCTGTCGTTATGTAGCTGTGTTACGTCGCTTTTCCCCCTGCGCCTCAAAAGTCAAAACGTTGTCTTATTTTTTCTTGTAAGTGAAAAAGATTCAATTGTTTTTTCAACGGCGCGTAACTCCAAGGAGTCCAGGATTCCAACTCATGTTTTTCGGTGAACACAAAGTGAACTGCTTGCCACTTGTTCGCAATTAAAACCAGCAGAAATAGACATTCCGGGGCTCAATTGAAAAAAAGTTTCGGCTATTTCTGCAGACTTATTTTCCGCAGTGTTTCAAAATTGAAGATATTGAAAATGATGCTAAAATCAATCGGATGCCTTCTCGTGCTCACTTTACGAAGTGGAATTTGTGAAATGGATTCGGCGCCTGCGAGACAATCTGCTCAGGATCCACAGAAATCCTGTGAAGCGATAAATTCTGGTGCGTATGTAAAGCTGGCTCGAACTTCTTGGTTGATCAATTATTTGTTCTCGATTACATACAATTTTCTGAAATTTCCCGAAGAATTTTCAATCAGGGAATTTAAATGAATAATCCTAATTTTAGAGAGCAGCAGAAAATTGTATGCAATGATTGCACGGATTTCTGGTGCGCTCCGACATTTGAAGCAGATTCATGGAAATTCCGTGGAGAGAAAAAAATGCGTTTGGAAATCTAAGATTTTTCACAATAAGAGGGGTGCGTCTCATATTATTGCATCCCTCGGGTGGCTCTAGTCCGAGACTTTCAAGAAAAATAGAATAGTCTGTACAAGTGAAGAATATGCACAACCGCAGCAAAATACCTCAAAATGAGCATATAATATGTAATAAAAGGCGAAAAATCATATTAATTTTGGTCAAGCTATTCATTCTGATATATACGGCATTGTTTCAAGGCGGTCCCTTTTCGGTGTATTGTACAGTACTTGGGTTTTTCAGACTGTTTTCTAATTACAATGCGCTGAACTGTCAAATAAAAATGAATACTGGTCACCCATTGAGAAAGATAATCAAAATTCTTCTGCTGATTATCATGTTCATCGTTTCCTAGTCCTGTTCCTTGTCTTCAAATTATGTCCACAGTTCCACACTGAACTGGAGTAGTCTCGAACATTCCATGTCACAATTGCTTCTTCCTCCACCGTATGCTATGCATATATGCAAATCATTATCAATTTTCATATACCAAGCTTTTGAAAAGGCTTGCCCTCAAGAATAATCCAAAACTTAATTCAAAAGCAATCATGGAAAAATGAATCTTTTCAAGAATTATCAGTTCGAGTTAAAAATTGAAATACAATACAGTAAATGATTGAGAGCTTGTTTTTTTTTTCTATGAATATTCGTAGTTGACTGGAGAATCTATTCCTGGCTTCGAAATGAAGATCACCGATCCGAATTCATCAGTTGAAGCCGCGAAGAACAGTGAGAAAAATAAACTTGCAGAAATCAGACAACCATCCAATGCAGTACATTTTCGGCGGGAAATGTTCGCCAGAGGTCTTAATTTGACGTTAGAAGAGCAGTTAGAGCTTATCGTCATTTTTCTAGTGGTCTTCGGTATAATTTCTTTGGTGCTAATTTCCCCCTTTCTCATTTTGCTTCTTCCTTTCATTATACTTTGGTATTTGATAACACTAATATTTCCGGTTGATTTGTCCAAATTTTATGCTGGACATCTTGTTTTGTTTGTATTGGTGGAAGCAGTGTTTCATGGTTAGTATCTGAGGAGTTCTGCAGATACTGTGAAATTAAACAGATATTCTTGAGGTCTAGATACATTTAATCTTATTCCACTGGATGAATCTAACCCATTCAATTGCTTCTTTTTTTAAAGCCCAGAACACCTGCTGAAGGCAAACTTTCTCATTTTACAGTGCAATATGTGCAGTAATGAAAATGAGATACCAACTAAGCTTTCACGCATTATGGATAGAAAATTGATTCATCAGGCGAGATGTGATCATCTTTATTCTCCATTATTTTGGGTGAGACTTTTAAAATTGTCATGCATGGAAAATATCAATGGTAACTTCTACAGAGTACCATATTTACTTGAGTACCACGCGCCCCTGGGTATTAAGCCACGCACCCCCATTTTTCGTCAAGAAATTTGTCTGAAAACCTATCCTTGTGTAAGACGCGCATCCCCATTTGGTTGTTATTTTTGCTGACCTTTAAGAAACTTTTAGTTTTTGTGTGGATCCATTTTCCCCTATTGAGATTTTGTTTTTCCTGGTTCATTGAAGCAATGAACAAAGTACTGTCAGTTTGTGATGATGCAGTGATCTAATTTGGGTACTGTACTTGACTTCAAAGTTATGGGCACAATTGCAGACAGAGTTGAAGCCGGCAAAGGCTCATTCCGAAGTCGTCATCGGTAAGGTGGCACGCCGGAAGAGGTGGTACTGCAGGTACGGCAGGTGAACACAGGTGGATGTCTCTCAACTGGGGCAGACCACGGAACGGTGGAACACCCCTTGCTCTACACTGTACGCAAAATTTAACGGAAAAACGCACGCGGATAAACGTAACGGCTCCATCAGTGCACAAAACGCGTTCGTCGGTGCGATCCAGCCATGCAGTTCCCAGCGTGTTGTCCCGCCACGTGTGAACGGGGACCGCGCTTTCGCGACCAGATACTGTATAAAAAGCCCGTGTGCCACTTTTTCCAGGAATGCGACGGGTTCTTTTGGGATGCGGCGGCGTAGACGGCGGTGGACGAGACTCGCATCAACGGGTGGTGAGAAAGGTCAACCGGCAACCAGGAACAAGTGCTGGGGCGGCCGGCTCAGCGAGACTGGGGCTTCGTCTCCGACCGGGTGTAATTCGAAGCCGCGAGACGACCCGCTTTTTTCTCCCTCTACCATCAGCGTTGTTCCATTTCCTGAAATTGCGTTTCCCCGCTTGGAATTCCGCTTGACAAAGGTCTTCGGATGACCTGTCTCTGGCCTAGGTCTATAACGTAGTCGCTTACAACTATTATGGTCGCAAAAATGGACTCGAAATCACCAGGTACGTGGTAAAATTCGACTGCGTCTTCTACAGCAGTGTTTGGGCCCCAACCTTTTTTGGCCAGCAGACTGGCAAATTGCCTTAAAGTCTTCTGTGGACGGGAAAATTTCCCAAACATTTTCTGCGGGCTGGAAAAGTTTTGTAACATTTTTGCAGACTGCTTTATGGCAGGTATTTAAAAATTTTCTGTTTTTTGCAAAATTTAGATCCAATGAAACAGGCATACAGTGGAATGCTTTCAGAAAATTGGAAAAGTGGGCTTGAAGAAAGGTTTCTCAGACTGAAAAAATTTAAATAATTTATTTCAGCATGTGAATATTTTTCTGAAGCATAATCAAGAGAAAAGCCAGTTTATGTTTTCTTTAGATAATTTAAAGTATCATTTGTTTTTCCAAGGTTTCAGATGAAGATTATAGACTTCAGTGCTACTTTTCTCAATTTATTATGCTGCAGAAAATTGCCTGTGGACCAGCAAAATATTTCTGCAAACCAGCACTGGACCATGGATCATGGGTTGCTGGGGAACACTGTTCTACAGTATTATATTTCATAGTGCACATGCTGGCATCTTAGCTTTGTAGGAAAAATGCATGAATGCTCTCAAAGCAAGAAGTAGAGGTGGTACCTCACAATTCAACCCTAATCCACTGCCAAACTAGGGTTGAATTGCAAAGCAGTCAATTTGCAAGATGCTTTATGGAATTCAAAAATATCACTACAAAAATGCAAAAAAGTGGCTGAAGCAAGTTGAATTGTGAGGAAAGGGTCAAATTGCAAGTCAACCTCCGTGCAAATTTGACCATCAAACAGCATGATGGTTGAATTGTGAGGTCCTGCCTGTGATGAATGATTTTTTTTCTGAAGTTAAATCAAGAAAACAAGTTCTGCACACATTTTACACAGACCATAACTCTCAGTAAAAAAAGGGATTATTCTGCATAGCAACTAACTTACTACGCGTTTATAACATGAGCACCTTGACTTTGCAGAGGAACTTTTGGGTAAAAATGTATCCCAGCATAAGGAAAACATCCCAGATTTTGGTGATCAACAAATCAAATATTAAAATTCAGAATTCAAACATTTGATGAAAAAAAGTTGGAAATATGAAACAATGAGAAATGAAAAGCATTTAATTTTTTGGTTAAGCCTGAAAATGTTTATCCAGGTACCGTGATATTTTTGACTGTTTTTTTTAAAACTTGAGTATGATGGTATGCACACCAAACTTTCAAACTTTGCGTACAAAATCTTACCCACGTATTGTGTGACGCATCCCATATCTTCATATACATTTCCAGAAAAACGTGCAGGTACTCAAGTACGTAGACAATATGTCGCATGTACCATTATGAAGCTCTGGTTTGAATAAAAATCTTAATGTGTCTGGTGAGATGAGGTTGAAGAAATTTGCTCGGATTTGAGCGGTAATCTTTTGTTTTCCTTCAAAAATCGCTTCCCGAAGGCTCCTAAAAAAACGTGGGGAATTTTTGTCTACGGGATAACTACCAACAAAGAGATGGAAAGCAACGAATTCGAAAACCCAGCTGTTCAATGTATGTCCAGCAATCATAAGTTACATATGCACAGCCATCCTCGAGTAAAAATGTTTGTTTTAGAGAGCAACAAGAAGATAAGCAAGCAAAAAACCGCACAGGACCAATTGTTGCGTTGGATCAAATATTTGTCTCGTTTGGAGGGATCCGCTTCCGAATTCACCGTAATGACGTGCACAATACTGTACAAAACTCCCAACATCAGGAAATACCCAAGAAAAAAATCTGAAACGACAAATACTTCATGTGACCTACTGAAAAAAACTGATTATTGGAACTTCTCACAAGGCGCTTTTCCACGTGCTGCTTTTCGTTCCGGTACTTTTCTCCTTAAACGCATTTCCCGGGACCTCGCGGCGGCGGAACCATTGGCATGGAAAGATTAGCCTTCATAACCTCAAAAGAAAACCATCGCGCGGCATTGAAAAACATTGAGTTGGTTGACCTCAAGCTCATCTAGACCTAGCTACGGTCGTAGGTCATGAGACCTCACAATCCATTAATTCTCAAAACCGGATGGTCGATTTGTTGCAGTCCTCAGCTGCCGCTTCAGAAATGAGAACCAGAGAACAGCTGTAGAAACTGTGTCACGACACGAGAAAAGCTTCCAGACACGATCGGTCTGGAGAAAGCACCCAACGCAAGAATCACCGAGTATAACAGGCGACCCACACAGAATTCACCCGAACTGAAAGCGAGAAAAAAATCCGGTAAAATTGAACTGAAGTATTATTTCTCGCCTTCAGTTTCGATTTTCACAACGAAGAAAAATCCCCGAATACGAAGTACAGTACGTGATTCCCCGCGCCGTGCTTCTTACGCGTGTAAAATATGGTACAGTATTTAGGAAACGATCAATTATTTACAGAGTATCCATGTTGAAAAGCTCCGACTGAATTTCCTCTTCCCATGTAGCACAGGCTGGGCACTTCGGGAAACAAAGGAGGGGTTACTTCTGTGTCTTTGTACAGCACTGTTTTCCCGGAGATCTATTTGCCATGAATGTGTTTTCTCGTGTTTCTTGAATCGTTTTTCGTCTTATTTTGGTCTTCGTGCTTCCATCCTGAAGAATTTTTGTCCGCTGTGATTTTCTTCTTGTTGATTTTCCAACTGGTCGTGTTTTCTCTCAATAACACTCGAGGAACATCAGACAGCACTAGCAACAAGGAACTCTTCGTAAACGTCGTTTATTATTTTCATTCGCACGACTTTGAAAAGAATGAATTGCGTTCGCGTTGAGATGTATCGAAAGCTACTTTCAAGAAAAGTGCCCTGCGAATCAAAAATTCAGGATTTAGCGCAAACATTTCTTGTATTCAGCTTTACCGATTCTTTCCAAGGATAAAACGCAAAGCTTTAGTCAGGCAGAAGAAGAATACAGGGAGACTCTCTATAACAGTTTTCTCTGTAGAACAAATTATTTTTTGGTCCCAAAGGTCTCCCCCTCGTTGTAAGGGCTCTCTAGGACGAAATTCTCTCTACAACGAATTTTTTCTGGTCCCTCGAATTTCGTTGTAGAGCAAGTCCACCTATACATTATGCATGCATCGCAACAAATTTCCTGGAGTTCGGCAGAAAGCTTGATTTCTCGAGTGCAAAACTGCATTTAATGTTTTTAAATACTTTGAAGCATCGATGTCTTGCAATATGATGTTGTACCTACATAAGGAAACTTACATACCATCTGGAATCGTCCAGTTTCTTGGTTTTCAGCCTTTCAGTGGTGGTTTGTAAACCATGTACTGTAAACCGTAGCTGGGTTGTTATTGCGTTGACCTTTCAACCGTATTGTTTTACTTCGCTTCTATTGTTACATTTTTTTATTAATAAATGCCCCTTGCTCATGGACTCCCGTAATATGCCAATTAATGCGCAAGAAGTCGTTCAATGCTGAGCTAAAAGGAAATTCTTCGGAAATGAACTGAGCTTTGCTTCGAAACCTGATTTTGATCCAAAATTGGTTCGGAAGAATTCGGACAGAAAGTTGCCCGCCAAAATGAACTTCAGTTTATGGTCAAGCTTTAGAAAATTGTATAGTCTTTATTGTTAATGGTTTTCCTAAAAATGTTCATGTCTGTTCGCGATTTAAATTAGGGCTATGTGAAAGCGCCGTATTTCAACAAACGTTGTAGCATTCACATTTATTTACAGCATTCGAAAACACCGCTCAAATTATAGTGAGTAATTTTACCCTCTCCGGGTCTGCGCATTATATGGTTTTAGTTTATGCGACCGCAGCTGCCAAGGCTTTCGCACTGAAATGAGTTAATGACCGGAGCAGAATCCCGTAACAAAATACTTCATATGGTGTGCACTTCTTTCACTTCTCAACGACACAGCGGACGCACAGAATTTCGCTGCAGTGACGGTGGGTAGCCTTTCTTCAGTATGGCTTCAACAGCTGCGGTGATTCGCCGAATGAAATGGCAGAAATTGGACGAGACTTTTCCTCATCCCCGGCCCCATTTCTGCATTCAAAGCGATGAATGTAAGACCAAGGAACTATGCTTACGTCCCCGGACACAGGTATCTATACACTGCATATAATAGAAAAACGACGATGGCCCTCTGACAGTAATGAAAAGGCGTATTATTGCAGTTAGCAATCTGAGTTTCATGGCTCTTGTCAACGTGCTGTTGAGTCGATATCGGCCTCCTTAGGCTTCAGGAAGTTTGTGACCCGACGATGGATGGTTTCAGAGCCCCAACAGCAGAAAAATTTGCAGGAACCCGCCAAGCAGAACATGGTTATTGAAATTACAATTATGTATAAAACTAAAGAAGATCCGAATACAGAAAAAAAATTTCAGTGTTTCGCGCCAGCCTCGGCGAAACTGCAAAAAAAGCTTTTTGAGCAAACGGTTCGTCCGATTTCTCACTGCATTACAGACATTTAACAACTGAAGTTGTACTGCTAGACTGAGAATCACTACAAATGTTTATCTTTATTCACAGCCTCTTAAACATTTCAGTAATGGGATTTTGCTTCCATGGACGATGTAAGAAACACAAGAAAGTATACGCGTTAAACCCCGTAAATAATTTTATCCATTCTGATTTCTGAATCGATCTTTCAAAATTTTCTGAAAGGTATCATTTGCAAAAAGGTGTCGCAAAAAGCAAAAAAACCTTTAATACCAATGCCTGTAAATCCTTATTCGATCTGTAAATCGTATTGGTTAATGAAAAGGAACAATTTAAAGTTTAATATAGGAAGTGTGCCAAATCGAGGTTAATCGATTAATTAAATTTGTTGATCGAGATAGCGTGGGAATTCTTCGTAAATCTGCCCAAAATGTGTTGATTAAATTGAAAAATAAATTGAGAATTTTACAAGTTTAGATTTTTTTCAACTGCGCAAAGAAATCCGACCGTCTGCTGCTTTCATTTCTTGCAAGATAACTTATCTTCTTCCTACGTAGACCCAAAATTCAGGCGCCGCAAGCTGAAGAATTTAGCATGTGAAATTCGCTTTCAAAAATGAAAAAAATACAAGATAATTTTCACACTCGCACACACACGACGAACTTCGCTGACGGTTGATTACCTTTTCGCGTGTATACGCTGATACCTGCATTCGATAACAACGCAAGGGGCTCCATTCAAGATGGAGACTCCCCAATTAAATGGGGAATGAAGGAAAGAAAGAATTCAGCGATCATCCAGCATCAAATAATAATGATGAATCCCCGCTCAACGATGAAAGCAAATACTGTACTGTACACCTCCACGGGTGGATGGTGCCGGTGATTCAGACGAACAGGCCCTGACATGACGTCGGAGTTGGCCGAATAACCCAGTTCTCATCCTCTTGGATGGACGCTACGTGGTATCGAACTCCGCCTTAAATTGAAGGGAAAGGGCTCCTCATTTCCTCCTTCACTCTCCCGTGACTTTTTTGTTTTGTTTTGTTTTCTCGTGTGTGTGTGTGTGTACCGTACTGAAAATCGTAAACCACGCATCACAGCATCCGATGCTTGTTCGGGGAGTTTCATTCCATTTCACCGCCTCGAGCGCGGAATGATTGGTCGTTCATTTTTGCTCGTCGACTTTTTCATGGCATCTTTATGTCTCCTCGGATTTTTTAATGCTTTCGCAATGAAAATCTGACTGTATTTTGTCCAGGTATTCACCCATTAACCATCTCGAGAGCTCAGTTGTATATATTATTGGAAAAAACCAACTTCATTTAACCACTCACGAAAATATGCCATCCATCCCTCCATATTTAGTTGAAAGATTTTTTTCGGAAATGGTAAATGTAAGTACAGTACTGTACTTCAAATGAAGCCTCGATGTTAATGTTTAGATTTTAATGATAAACATCGTCCAAAGAGACTAACTCTGAAAAAACTTCTCCTGAGATAATCATGATAACCATGCGTTTCAGCAAAATGAATTCAAGACACGGACATTGCATTTGAAATAGTAATTCATTTTTAACTGCCTTCGATGTTGCGTCACAAAAAACATATGACTGACTCTTTCCTGACGCATATTTTATACTTTTTTGTGCCAATTGTATATTTTGTTCAAGAATACATTAACAACAACCAATTCAGAGTTTTCTCGACCGAAAACAGCAATAATTTGTTCAGGCATACATGAACATGTAGTGGCATTCTTTCATTTGTTTCATTTTTTGTACAGCTCAATCAGCAATTGAAGGTAAAATCTACAGTATTTCAAATTGTTTTGAGTGAAACCACATTGCAACGAATTTGTACATATTCACTTTCAGAAGTATGTAAAAGGAATACATCTCCCGCGGCGAAGAATTTAAATTTCACGAAAATAGTATTCTTGTCACAAGATTGACGTGACGTTAAATTTTTAGTAAACTTCGTTGAATATCCAAATTTACTTTGAAATAGTAATTACATTGCCTTCCAAGGGATTAATGAGAGAACACGAAGTCTCTCTGTGATACAAACCATTATGTGTTATATATACGGAGAGGAAATGAAGCGTCAGGTTTTCATGCATGATTTCTCTTTCGGGGAATGCGTTCATCATCACCTTTGTCCCTATTTAACCTGAGGTCACTTCGCGGTGAGCACCAAGAGGAGAGTGACCTCACCTTGACTTACGGATCGTGGGGAAGGCCATCTCCAGAAACCAACGAGATGTACGCATTCGTTTCAATAAAAAAAAAGTGAACGTACAATTACGCCCTACAATTCATTCAAATTATAGCCCTCTTCTTCAACTAGAAATAATGCCTGAGCCCTAGCCATGTTCCGCAGACTTGCGTTTCGAAGCCGAATAAATTAGGTTTCACGAAGGCAAACAGCACTTCACAGAACGAACGATCACGCCAAAAAATCGACAAAACGGTGCGATTCTTTCCAGGCACGGTACTTTTTGTCTGTGCACCAAAAAGTTT